ATCTCACGCAGGAAAGTCTGCACTTAATTCCCGCCTAGGAGTAGTCCTTGTGTTACTTTTCCGAGAGTGCATCTGTCATTATATAGCGTCGCGTTCGAAGATTGTACATATTCTAGCGAGCGCTAGAAATTAGTTCGTTTACTTTTTAGAGATTTCGGTTTATGATATTTCACGAGCAATGTCAATATCAACATATCGCTCGTGAAATATCATAAATCGTAATCTCTAAAAAGTCAACGAATTAAAATTAATTTCTTCTCGGACCGAACTAAAAATACACTCAACTGATTTAAATCACTTTAATTTTACTTTACATCTTCTTTTTCATAATGAAATCGACAAGAAATCGTTTCTTTTTTTTCTCAAACATCTCTCTTCTTACATTATTTTTTCTACAACTTTTTTTTTTTAATTAAATAGTAAATGTAGGGAGAAAGAGAGGATTGCGTGTTTCTTCTTGATGATTGCAAGAACTATCGAAAGACGTATATCATTGCTTTCGTCGAATGTTATTGTTAATAAAAATATCAATTATTAGAAATCAATTGAAGATAACGATTTATCATTACAAAACTAAAGTTTCGTTCCTTTGCCCGATTTAATTCTTGTTCTAATCATCCAAATCAAACAGTCGGTTCTAGTCGATTAGAAAGTTATTCAAAGAGAGATGATCATTACTCTCAGAACAAGTTTCTTCTAGATACATTATAGATTAATGAAAATAAATTGTTTGCTATTGAGAAAATTAAAAATTATTGCTTCTTGTATAATCTTAAAATATTCAGCGCCTAACGTGACATTTCGACTGGTATTTAAACAGGTTTTAGAGAAATCACAAAACGCTTTCAGAATAAATTTTCTATACACGTATGGAATTAATAAAGTGATTTCTAATCTATAATAATACAAAATTGCTACTTTATATAATCTTCTTTTATATGTAATTAAAAATTACTTCTTTATATAATCAATTCAATATATCAGTCTTATTCTAGTTAAGCGCGCATCTAGTTTAGAGTGACATTCTAACATTTTGTTGTTTTTGAGAGATATTAGATACTTTTTATAATTTTTGGGTTGTTAATTTGCAGAAAATTGACTCGCCTTATCATCAATTCAAAGGTAAGATTCTTACCCAGTCCATGCTTGATCTAGTTTCCCAATGACTTAATCAAGATTTGAAGTCAGGAGATTCTCAGCTTGTACACATCGCGCATCAGATACATCCGCTTAAGATGCACGGATCCACAACGGCAAAATGATTGTTGCTGCACTCGCGACTTATATCTGTACGACACTGAAGGACGACGTGGCGTTATTGGTACCTGCGGGCCCAGGTACGAGCACCGTTCTCCAGGACAATAAGTATACGACTGGCTCGGTCTATCTGACTATCGCCAGCCAACGAAGGTGGACGGAAGGCGCACTGTTACTTTCATGGGTCGTCTCTCATACTGCCAGCACCTTCATGGGACATGCCACCGATATTCGACCCCACCAACCGGAACCGCGGACACGTTTCCAGTCCTTCATGATGCCGAGCCCGTGCAAAATCCCTGGTGCGGTATAGTAGTGGTGAAAGGAAGACATTTCCTCGTCAGCCGTCTTCGTCGGTGCCGATTCGTTTCTGTTCGCTGGGCATCTAATACTTTAAGTGTAAACATTATTGTCGAACGAGGATCTTTTAAACGTGTAACTATTTAATATAAATAAATACCAATATTAAAATGGCGTTACGAATTATTTCTCATTAATTTCTTCGATCCGTACACGTGATATTTTGAATGAAACAATATATATTATATGTATAGTATAATTAACAATTATCTCAAGAGATTTTTCATTTCTATATTATGTATATATATATTATACTCGTATTATAGGTATATGTGATATAAACATTAATTCTTTTGAAATAATTGTTGATCAACAAATAAATAAGTAATTCATGACATGTTTAAAATTTATCGTGATACCTCACGAACATCAATATAAATTCAAAGTTTACTCGTTTAACAATTATCTCAAGAGATTTTTCATTTCTATATTATGTATATATATATTATACTCGTATTATAGGTATATGTGATATAAACATTAATTCTTTTGAAATAATTGTTGATCAACAAATAAATAAGTAATTCATGACATGTTTAAAATTTATCGTGATACCTCACGAACATCAATATAAATTCAAAGTTTACTCGTTTAACAATTATCTCAAGAGATTTTTCATTTCTATATTATGTATATATATATTATACTCGTATTATAGGTATATGTGATATAAACATTAATTCTTTTGAAATAATTGTTGATCAACAAATAAATAAGTAATTCATGACATGTTTAAAATTTATCGTGATACCTCACGAACATCAATATAAATTCAAAGTTTACTCGTTTAACAATATTACATAATGATAATTGAAATATAAATATTTTATAAAAAAAATGTATTAAATATAAAAATATATATAATAACAATGAAATATACACGTACGTTACATGTACAGGGTGTCCCAGAACGACCGCGAAAAATTGCATGCGCTGATAGAGTGGACTGAACTGAATTGAAAAGTCTTGTACCGTTTTGCAATTTGAACAATAATTAACGAGATATTAACTTTTAAAGATTGTCGAATATACTCGCGTTCACACGGCCTACCACTGCCATCAAATGTACGCCTATAGAACGCTAAACGAGCCGCGGGAAGCAGTGGGACGGCCTGGCAAACGCGCCGTTCAAATCGTGACGTTTGGTGGCTCGCGGCGGTGTGCGCGGCGGGCCGCTAGTCAGTCCGCTCTACCTGTGCCTGTAATTTTTCGCGATCATTCTGGGACACTCTATATATATTAGGGTGTCCGTTATTTTGGCGATTTTCGAAATTTGTACGGGACTCCCCCCTAACTTTTTAGTAAAAAAATAACAAAAATTTTGGCGCTAATAAAAAGTTCCTACGATGATTCTAAGTGGAGGCTCATCGATGTTGAAAATTAACCCGTAAATCTTATGGGAAAAAACATTTTTTTAGTATTTCTTCGGACATTTCCACCGCAATCAGTCTAAAAATCCAGCAAGTGAGATATCTTTTCTTGAATGTTTTCCACGTGAAATGAGCCTAGGCGGAACAAAATCGATCAATTTCCGACCGAGTTATTCCACTTTGAACTTCAATAATTTTTCACCCAAAAAATGAGAAGAGCCTAAAATCTCTCAATAAAATTACAGTAGTTCTGTTAGAATGCATTTTAAAATCATGAACCATTGAATTTCACATTCCTTATAGTTTTGCGATTAAAATGACCACCTTACAAGTTAAAAACGATAATTTGTAGCCGAATTACCGCAGTTTTTATAAAGAAGTTTTTTTTTACTAAAATCAGGTGAAGGAAATGAAGGTTTAGTTTATTCGCTATAACTCGAGAGAAAAAAATCGTAAGTTATTGCACGAAATACGATCATATTCCTTACGTTTTTTCCTTTCGAAAGCCATACCTGTCGTCATCGAAAAAAAATTTGTGGACGCCATACGGTCCCTTTAATATTGCTCTTCTTCGAACGCGAGAAATCTGCAAGCTGATAAATATTTTTCTTATTAATTGTCCCGTGCACTTTTCGTTACCTGCAATTTTTTTTATTTCAAATTTGGCAATTTCATGTTGTTTGTGATATTAATTCTTTGATATGACAAAAAATTTCGAAATTGAAAATTGTGAATTACATTAAGTAATCTTAATTTGTTGCTAATTAAGTAATCATAATTTAATCTTAATTGTTATAATAAAAAAGATATTCATCAGCTTGCAGATTTCTCACGTTCGAAGAAGAGCAATATTAAAGGGACCGTATGGCGTCCAGAAATTTTTTTTCGATGACGACAAGCATGGCTTTCGAAAGGAAAAAACGTAAGGAATATGATTGCATTTCGTGCAATAACTTACGATTTTTTTCTCTCGAGTTATAGCGAATAAACTAAACCTTCATTTCCTTCACCTGATTTTAGTAAAAAAAACTTCTTCATAAAAACTGCGGTAATTCGGCTACAAATTATCGTTTTTAACTTGTAAGGTGGTCATTTTAATCGCAAAACTATAAGGAATGTGAAATTCAATGGTTCATGATTTTAAAATGCATTCTAACAGAGCTACTGTAATTTTATTGAGAGATTTTAGGCTCTTCTCATTTTTTGGGTGAAAAATTATTGAAGTTCTAAGTGGAATAACTCGGCCGGAAATTGATCGATTTTGTTCCGCCTAGGCTCATTTCACGTGAAAAACATTCAAGAAAAGATATCTCACTTGCTGGATTTTTAGAATGATTGCGGTGGAAATGCCCGAAGAAATACTAAAAAAATGTTTTTTCCCATAAGATTTACGGGTTAATTTTCAACATCGATGAGCCTCCACTTAGAATCATCGTAGGAACTTTTTATTAGCGCCAAAATTTTTGTTATTTTTTTACTAAAAAGTTATGGGGGGGTCCCGTACAAATTTCGAAAATCGCCAAAATAACGGACACCCTAATATATATACATACAGTGCATATCACAAATATAACTGATATATTAAAATAACACAAAAGTTCCTAAAATTGTAATATAAAATTATTATTTAATCCGAAAAAAGTCATATCATAAAAATGAAAAGTTCAAGCCACGTTCAAAAAAGGATACTCAAAAATTTAACTAGTTGACTAACAAACTCGAGTACCTGAACAACGTAAAGTAAAAAGGAATGAAAATCAATATGGACATGTAAGGGTTGTCAGATATTTAATTTGTTTTTTATTGCTAATTGGACTGCGCCAGAATTTTCTCTTTTTCGTTTTTGCTAAATTTTAAACATATATTTAGATATTTCTCTAAATACAAAGAGTATTACTAGTTCAGCTATTTAAAAAATAGATTTATTGATTCCGATAAACACTCATTAATATACAATATTGCTATTTACTAATCTTAACTTTCTTACAATTTAATGAACGTTTTTGAGTCGCATGTAATAATTTTCGAACTTTTTTTATCAAATAATTTGTAAATTATGTTTCTTGAATCGTATTTAATTCAGGACCAACACTTTCAGGATCTAACTTGGATTTCTTAAATTGTTTTGTAGAATTTTCTGAAAAAAAATTTTTTTAATCTTCAGAGTCATGCAATTTCTTATTGTATTAATCAATATGAATCAATTTATTACATAATAGATATAAAAGTATAGATATAAAGCATAATAGATATAAAAAAATTAATTACCTTGATAGAAATGTTTCGCAGTACGTTTTCTAATTTCATCAATACCTTCTTCCGTCTGTGCCCATTCAAGAACTAATCTCCGACCATACAAATGAGTACTTTGACATAGCGCTTTAAATGCTTTCTATTAGAAAATGCAAATTTTATATATATAAACAAATAAAATTTATAGAATATATACGCACGCACGCACACAAAATTAATATGAGAATAATGCAATTCTCATTTCTTACACGTTTATAAATAATTTAATAATAAAGGTTTAAAATAATTCTCGAAATAATTTAATATTTTGTTAAATTATTTTATTAAATCAAATTCAATAAACACTAAAAATCTTTTACCTTTGCATCTGACTTAGTATAATACTCGATAAAAGCGAATCCTCTATGCTTTTCAATGCCGATCAGTTTTTTTGGTAGTCGTACGGCCTTCAACTCGCCATATGATCTATAAAATTATAATTAATTATTATATCACATGAAGATATTGGGAGTATAAATTAGTTCGGTCCGTTTTCCAAAAAATGATCGCCTCCAAAGACGAGTTATTTTTTCGAGGTGGAATTCGAAAATTGCCTGAGAGTAGGGAAAAAGTAGTAGCCAGCGAACTTTAATTAATCTGTTCATTCATTTTGTTTTGAAATAAATGCATTTTTGAACACAAAAAAACGGACCGAACTAATTTGTACACCTAATATATATACACTACTCACAAAAATTAGAGGAACACTTAATTTTGTAAAAAAATAGACAAAATTCAGACAGCTGTAACTTCTTTAAAAATAAACGAAACTTGAATTTCAAAAAAGAACTTTAAAGCTTGAAATCTTTACTTTCGAAAGATCACTTTTTTTTAGTTTCTGTCAGTTTAGTACTTTTTACACATAGAAAACTACGAACTGAACAAAATGAGAATTTTTTATCTCATTTTGTGGGCTTGTCACGTGCGAAAAAAAAATCTGCGAAAATTTTCGACTATTTTATGTAAAAGCTTGAAGTTTTCCCTATAAAATCGTTTCTTAAAAATATTTCTACGATTTTTTGTTACTGAACTATCACGGATTAAGTGAAAAGTGAGCACTTTAATTTTAATTCTTCTAAGTATTTCTAAAGTAATTTTAATTCTTCTTTGATTTTAATTCTTCTAAGTGCTTCTAAATATTAGTGGAACGCAGCCATACTGTAGATTTTCAGTACTGGCAGTATTGGAACACAACCTGAGTTTTAATATTTCTCATACATACATTTCACGCAGGCACGCAAAAACACACGCACGCACGCACACAATGAAGCGTAAATCCAACTGTGCGACTTCCTCGTGGCACGCTTTGAATAACGCTAATGCCGGCGGTATTTTTTTCAAATTTCAGTGAAAAAAAAGAATAAATAAATTTATATTCGTACCGACACTAAAGATCAGTGTAGTGTCGACGCACTGGAAATTGATCTTTCAACATTAATCAAACTTTACTTTTCATTTTTTTCCTTTCTTTTTCACTGAAATTAAGCAATTTTCCCTTTTTTTGTACGTTTTGCTTCATAAAACCATAGTGGCCACCACGAAAGAAATCTCATACCTATACGGCAAATTTTTTATAAACGCAGAATACTTAGAAACACAAAAAACGTGAAGAATAAATTTCTTTTGTTGATCCAAATGTTTTCTGAATGAAAATAAAAAAGAAAAAATTGTTAATTTTTACGATATTTTAAATCACTTGTATCATGTTTCTTAAAAAATATTTGCAACAACATCAAATAGAGCACAATTTTAGCTTTAAAAATCTTGTTTTAAAATTACAGTACGATGATTTTTAACGGAGTTATGAGCAATTAAAATCAAAGTACTCACTTTTTACTTCATCCGCGATAGTTCAGTAATAAAAAATCGTAGTATTTAAAAAAAAAACGATTCAGTGAGGAAAACTTTAAGCTTTTACTCGAAAGTCGAAAATTTTCTTCGTACGTGACAAGCCCACAAAGTGAGATCAAAATTTCTCATTTCGTTCAGTTCGTAGTTTTCTATGTAAAAATTAGTAAACTCGCAGAAACTAATAAAAAATAGTGATCATTCGAAAATAGAGATTTCAAGCTTTAAAACTTTTTTTTAATTCAAATTTCATTCACTTTTAACGAAATTAAATTTTGTTTAATTTTTACAAAAAATTAAGAGTTTCTCTAATTTTTGTAAGTAGCGCGCGCGCGCGCGTGTTTGGAATTTTGTGATTTTCTCCAAAACGAAGCAATAACAAGCATATCTCTACAGAACTTTTTTTTTCTTAGTTTATCGATCCTCTAAGTGTGTGTTTGATCATTTAAATTCTAAACACCCTATATATACATATACACATACTTGAACAATTCCGTCACTTCCTGGATAGTTGCTTGGAAGGGTATATTTCGTACTAAAATTTTAGCACCAATCTGTTCGGTGATATTAGACTTCTTTCTTGCTGTTTTGACATCAGATCTAAAAAATTTTGCGGTTATGAAGAATGGTCAATTTTTCAATAAAATAAGGATAACTTACATTAGTGTCCTTTCAGATCGTTTCAGTTCTAAACTCTTCCCATCCAGTACTGACATCTGCAACGTTTTTAACGCACGATCTGCATCAAATTTTCTTTTATATCTTATAAATCCGTATCCCATAGATAATTTTCTAGCAGGATTTTCTGGATCCATTTTAGTAGTTATTGTAACGTAATGAAGAGGACCACATTTACTAAAGTACTACAAATGTAAAGTTGTATTATTATAGAGAAAACACTGATATCATATATAACACTTTTTAACTACTTACATCTTTTAATTCTTTTTCCGTAGTTGAGAAATTAATATTTTTTACAAAAAGTGTTGTATCTGATTCGGGCGGCTCGTTATCTTCTTCTTTATGTGTATTATTCTTATTTTCTTTAGATTCTTTTACTGTTACTTTATCTTTAACTTCTTTTAAATCTGCTGGTTTTTTTGCAGTCACATTACTTTCAATTGTCTCAGTTTTAGATGCAGGCATGATAAAACTGTTATCTGGCGCCCACTCTAGATACAATGGCAGATGTTTATATTTTGTATAAGCTAATGCACGGAAAGCCTTGCGTGCTTCGGATGGCTCCAAAAATTCAACTAGCGCTGTTATGCCCACTGGTGGCAATACAATACGCGCAAGGTCTCCATATTTAGCAAACATTTCTTGTAATTCATTCAGTTTTGTTTCAGCTGGTAAATTCTTCGCCAAGATTATGGTACCTGATCTCTTTTTTGGTGCTTGATTAAAAGCGTCCAAGCATACGCCGTTTTCTTCCAAAAAAGTTTTTGTATCTTGAACCATTTGTGTTTCCCCCAATGCTAGTTTGACTGCGGCGCTCATTCCATTCGATCCATCTTCCAACAATTTCTCTTTCGTTGTGTTATAATGACTCGCGATAGCATTCGCCACAGCGTTCTGTCCAAGAAATAGTGTATTCCAGTTATGCGATGAACCCGCAGTTGCTTTAGTCTGTAGTTCTTTCTTTTGTTTATAAGTTAAATTTTCAGTATCAATGTCATCTAAGGAAGTTTTTGTTTTTCCAGGAAGAATATGTAACATTCTACCATCCAATATAGAACCGTCCAATTCACTGTAAGCTTTTACAGCATGTTCTGGCATCAGAAACGTTATTGTGCCAAATCCTTTTGGTTTCCTAGTCATTTTATCCACAGGTAAATCTACTTCAGACAGAGGACCATATTTTTCAAATAGTTTTCTGATGTCATCCTCTGTAGTTGTATACGTCAAATTTCTGATAAACATTCTTCCAGATTCTGCTATACTCTCCTCATTTTTTAAAGCTTCTTCTTGTTTCTTCCATTTAATATTGGCCTTGTTACACAAGTCCTTATTAAATTCAACTTCCTCTTTTTGCTCATATTTAGATACAAATATCTGTTTCCCTTCTACATAAATAAAAAAATTACTTTAAAATGTGTAAAATATTGTAAATTTTAATTTAAATTACATTCAAAATTTTTTACCTAAGAAACTCTTATTTTTTATAAGAGCTTTCTTCATGGCTTGCTCCGTTTTAAATCCAACATAAGCTATACCTTTAATTTTACGTGGGATTCTGATAGATTTTGGTTTTATAGGAGAAAGAAATTGTTTAATATGTTTTTTCATGTGTTTATATGCAAGTCCTCGTATTTTTACAGTAAATAATGTCAATGGACCATGCTTTGACATATCTTTTGTCAGAGATTTTATCTTACTCTGACTTAACCAATCAGGTATGTCTTTTCCATTTGAGAATGTCACTTTTTCTAAAATAACACAAAAATATTATATTCCCTCCAGCTATTTTCTTACTTTACAAGAGATATAATTTGTAATATCCAAATAAAATAAAATTTATTTAAAAAATAATATATTAATCAACAGAATTTCTAGAATATAGATTCTTCTACTAAATATCTTGGATACAATAAACATAAAATTTTGTTTAAATTCTACTTTTAAGTAGATTTTATAAATATAAAATATTTTAAATAAAGAATATCACTTTATTATATTATACAAAATAGTACTTGAAACATAAAAAAAGTTGCTTAATAATACACAATTCAAAAAAGTAAAAAAACAGGAAAGGAAAAAATTCCTCTTCCTTTTTCTTACCTGTCTTTTCTTCAGACTCATCATGTTCTTCATCTTCAGATTTATCATCAGATTTTTCAACTTCTTCTTGTGGTACATCAATATCATTTTTCCAAACTGTTTTTGCATCTTTACCAGTATGTGTTTCAAAAAATTCGATAAATAAAGGATCATCTTTACACTAATTTGAACATAACAATTTTAACAATTTTCTCTTAATAGAAACAAATTAATATTATATTTATTTATATATATATAAATAATTTATTAATTACAATAATTTTTTTTATCAATTAGTAAACTTAGAAAAAATTTTAATGTACCTTTTCAAGTGCTTTTTTAACTTCATTATTTTCTTTTTTATCTGCCTTTATCTTTTTCTTTTTCTTATCACTCTTGTTCTTAGCTTCTTCTGTATTTACTGCCAAATCTATTGGTTTTACCTTTGACTTTGTATTAGATGCTTCATTAACATTATTGTAAGAACTATCACTTGCATATTTGCTCCATGATTTTGGCTTTGAAGGATCACCTAAAATATCATACATACATTCATGTATCAAAAAGCAGTTAGATTATTATAATAAAATAATTATACATACCTAAATTTGCACACTGCTCAACATATATTTTAGAAGTATCGATGAATGTTTGATTAAAATAGGACTGCGCCAATTGTGCTTGTTCCTCTGATTTATAACCAATGAATGCAAATCGCCGAAATTTGCCATCTTTCGTGTACTTCAATTGGACATCAGTCACAATACCTTTTTGACTGAATAATTCTTTCAATTTAATGTCTGTAACCTATGTAGTATGAAATATTTATATATATCACAACCAAAATATTAACTCAATAAATGTATACATTGACTAGTAAATGTACACATTTACTAAAGTTAACATTTTGATATGTATATAGTGAAATAATTATTTATATATTATATACAAAGTTAAATAAAAAGTCACATGTAATTTCATCCACATACACTTTTTGGCAAATTTTTCACTATTAAACGGGACATTTCTCTGTAAGGTATAAACCACGATGTTAGAACTGGTGGTCCGACCCGACTGAATACATTTTTCACGTGCAGTCCTGTGCAGTGATGCACATTGGGGTCCCAGCACGCCGCGTTCGGCTTGACTCGGCTAAGAGAGCGCAACAGCACGACTGTCTGTCCTTCAGCCTTCGACGCATGCGCACTAGTCGAGCGCGAGCGAGATGGCAGACGCTACGTCACGATCGGACCCTCTCGCTCGTCCGCTTGTCGCGAGCGGCTGAAAATGTTTCTCGGCCGGCTTGGCCGGCTCGGCTACCGATATAAGGGATAAAAGGACGTTCCATATGACATATATGTTTAAATAAATTTTTAGAATCGTATACCTTTCCCATTAATCCACAATGGCATAAATTATGTCAAAATGCGATAGTTTACGAGATATTAATTATTTACAATTTCCCATGCGAGTAATATACCTCGTTTATAAGAACGATTTAAAAGTACTCTACATGGTCGAGCGCATCTAGGTGCAAGCCTAGAATGCTGGAGATCTTATGTTCAAATCTTTTAATTTTTTCTCTTTTTTTTTTGTCTAAAATAAGTACAGTTATTAGTATCTAAACATATTAGGCCAAATATACTTATAGAGATGACAAAAAGTTCGGCAACGGTCAAATATCTTGGAAAATAATGATTATGGAAAAAAATGTTTAATACAAAAGTTTTAGTATATCAAGTGATCTATTATACGGTTATATTGAAATGACTTTCCTGTGACCTTGAAGGACACCATGAAGGTTAACTTTGAAATCTTAAATGG